CAAAGCCTCGAGGCCCTCCACGCCGGTGCCATGGACATCGGCACCAACGCCTGGAGTTCCCTTACGTGGTTTTGGGCTTAGGGTTTAGGGGTTCCTTTAAGGGATCTATAAGGGATCTATAGGGTTTAGGGTTTAAGGGTTTACGGATTTAGCGGTTTAGGGGTCTAGGGGTTATAGGGTTATGGGGATTTAGGGTTTAGGGCTTTTATACCTTGACCCTGGAAAGTTATAGCTTTTCTTCGAGAACCAATCATTCATTGTGGTTCGGCTCCAATCAACCGAAGAAAAAACCAGACGGCAATTATCCCGAAAGCAAGCACGTGGCAGCAATCATTGCGTGACATGTATATTTAGCAACGTGTTGGGCATATAAGTGTAAGCAGACAAGTGCGTAGTGCAAGTAGTGCAAGTAGTGTAAGTAGGTTATGTAGTGTAAGTAGTGTAAGTAGTGTTGTAAGTTACATCGTTTTGACCTCATTTCACAAGGCCGGCAAGGGTATCCCTTACGAGCCCTGCGGATCGCAATAATAAATGGGGTGACAGTAATAAACTCCCCGGGGCGGGGGGTCCTGGAAGTAAGGCTTTCTTCAGAACACTAGCTAGAAAGCAAAAGCTGATGGGCCGCAAGACAGAAGCTTTGGTGTTCGAGAGCTGCAGGCTTTGGCCTGAAGCCAGGCCCCCCCCCCTCCGAACGATCACACCAAGAGACCTTCGACAAAACAACCTCAGGGGGGAGGTTTTCTTTACTACAACCCTTACCCTAACCCTCCAGGTGCCTACTATATAGGGCCCTAGGGGCTCTAGTACCCTCTATAGTAGGTATCTGGAGGGTTAGGGTTACATTAGGGTTTATAGGGTTTAGAGATTTTCCTAAAACATACTAAAATTCTATGCCCTATAACCCTAAATCCTACTACCCTGTAACCCTAAACCATAAAACCCTAGTGACATCTAGTGACTTTGCGTGAATGTGGACGGGCATCAGTCACAGGCCAAAGTACAAGCTTGTGTGTTCTGCCAGCGACGGTAATGATTCGAACATAGGCTTTCATGCTGTTTGTGTTTGCAGTTGCTTTGCTGCGCTGCGGCAAGAGTGTCTAGCCTTGGGGGCAGATTTCTCTAGCCTGCGCGTGCTGGCAGACCTCGATCTGCCATGACGCTCACCCCAAAGTGGTGCAGTTGGCTAAGGACAGCCGTGCGCGAGCGCAGAACTGTTTGGGCTGGCAGATGTGAAGAAATGCTTGCAGGTGACGTGAAGGGAGCCTAGCCCTAGTACTGCGGTGCAGGGAATGGCTGGCCTTACGTATAGGGCCCCTGCTAGACAGCACTATAGCTTGTGCCCACAAGCTGTCCATCCGCACTGACAACCAACCAACCAACCTGTAACCCCAAACCCTCAACCCTAAACGCTATACCCCGAAACCCTAAAACCCTAAGCCCTACACCCTAAAGCCTGCCTCCGCCAGCACTGGCAGAAGCAGAGAGAGCCTGCAAACGACTGGCCTGATCCACGGGGAAAGTGAGACTCTGGATTTCAGGGAAACCCTATACGCTAACTCTAAACGCTAAACCCTAAACTCAAACCATAAACCCTAAATCCTAAACCCTAAACGCTAACCCTAAACCCCAAACCATTTCAGGGTTTCTGGGTGCGGCTCTCGAGTTTCTGAGGGTTCATCGTTTTCTGGCTTGGGGCCTCTACTAAAGGAAACTAGAAATGGAGAGTTTAGGGTACACAGGGTTTAGGGTTTTAGGGTTTAGGGTTTATGGGTTTAGGGTTTTAGAGTTTCCGAAGTTAAAGGAAACTGCAGGTGGGGAGTTTAGGGTATATAGGGCTTGGACCAGCCCCTAAGTGTCCTTTCTTTGCAACCCGTGCGATACCAGCTGAGAAGTGCTACTGTTGATGATATAAATCCTGCAGTACCTTATATGGGGGTTATGGTATTTTCCTTCTTATGGGCAATGCAGGATTCATACCACCAACCGTATTATACAAAGTCGTGCGATCTTTACAGACGATAGTGCCGCAGATCCGAATCAGTCGGGCGTGGGTGCACTTCTGGAGGTGTCCTATGGCCAAGAAGCCAAAGATCCCGTATCCGGTACTAGGAAGGATGTACACCTGTTGCTCTCTTTTCCGCGCTCTTCTGTAGGGTTCACCCTCGCCACTACATCAATCTCCATCTTCCCAAAGGACCCTAAGTACTCCTATGGGGGATACTTGCCCAAACCATAAATTATAGTAGCCATTCCTACTATAAGAGACCATACATTCTACTATATAGGTACTTTGGACCCTTAGGTAAACCTTAAACCCTAAAACCCTAAACCCCTAACCCTAAACCCTAAACCCCAAAAACCCTAAACCCTTTGGGCTTCTCTAGTGGCACGTGGAATGCTGCGACCACAAGTCGTAGGCTTTGGGAGCGGCAAGCCGACACCTTACGGTCTCATGTGCCATCCCATAGGCCCCTAAGTAGTTCCTTTTTATGGTTTATATTTAGAATCCTATAAGGTAATCCCCCAAAGGAACTACTTAGGGGCCTATGTGCCTGCATCCCGGTTTAGGGTTGAGGGTGAGTGTTTTGGGTTGTAAAACGCACAGACATATGAATGTAAATAAAAAATGCAAACTTGTATAGACAAATTATATACACATATATATATATACATGCATATGTTATATGCATATTATGTGTGTGTATATATATAATTTTTGTTTATGTAGGCTTATCTTTGTAATTTAGGTTCTTTGGCCTCAAGGGCCTCAAGGGGTTCGTACACAGGTACTGCTGGGTCCAAACAAACACAACCAACCCTTAACGTCAAACCTAGGCACATGACCCCTGGGGACGGAGAGTGAAGATCTGCAACTCGCGCATGGTACGCCGGCGCTGCGAGAAGCAGCCAAGCTAAATCATATGAGGCTATCTGGCATATTCGAAGTGCACATGTCCAACAAACGGTGTTAAATGGCTGGTGAAGCTTGAAAGGCTCCAGTGAACTCCTAAGACATAGGGATGTAAGGATCCAGGCGCGGATGTTTTATTTTTTGTGGGCGCGGTTTCCGGATTGAAATTCAAGCCATTCGTGGTTCAGGGTTTTAGGGTTTAGGGTTCAGGGTTTAGGGAATTCAGGGTTTGCAGATTTGGAGGGCCGCAGGTCTTAGTAAGTACGTGAGCAGAAACGTCAAGCTCAAGCACTCCTCGCCATGAACGCGTAAGAAGCCAAAACGCTTGGTAAAAACAAAAAGGCCCAGAACTCTGGGAAGGGTCTGCAAATGAGCCCTAACGGGCTCCTGAATGACGCTTTTTGCACTATAACCTCTTCCGATCCCTAGTGCACCCCCCCTTTCGTCGCGCCTCAAGGTGGAAGCAGTGCAACCATGCATCCTTGCGTCTGAAAGAGGGGTTCGGGTTTCGGGGGAGTTCGGGTCGAAGGACACTCCACACCCCCGTAAAAATTCTTAAGGCCTAACCCTACACCCTAAACCCCTATCTTACCCGAAAACCTGAAAGCTCGAACATCGAACCCTAAACCGCAACAATGAAGCATGAACAGTTCGACTATAGGGTTTGGGGGGGGGGGTCGGGGCAGCCCCAACATGTCCAAACAGGAGCGCAGAATATGTCATGGCCTCCTTCAAAGCCCCAGGGCTCCAAGTATACGACTAGTACCTATTTTGGGGTATAACTGCAAACAGAGCCTACTTTGGACTCTTTGCAGCCCGCGGGAAACAAACTTTCCACAACGATGGCTTGATGACTTGACTTCTCAACAACGTGGAAAGAAATCCACCTACACCTTAAACCCTGAAGCGTATCCTGGCCGTGGTCAGGGGTCCACGCGTCTACACAGTATATACTTTGGCCTCGAAGAGGATATACTAATGCAACTTACTTTCAGGACCCCTCTCCGGGCCTTGGTGAGCACCACCACCCGCAGCTGCGGACCGGCCCAACGCCGAGGCGCCTGGCTTCTTTATTGCTCTTTTGTTTCTGGCTTGCTTCGTTGCCTTGTTGCTGTGTTTGTGCTTTGTGAGTGGTGGTGATACAGCATTCATAAATGGTCTACAAGAGGTTTATTAAAAGATTTTACACAGGTTGTAAACCGATGATAACGAAAGCTACTACAACGCCATACCAGGCCACCACCTTTACCACAGCTCTATTCGTGTACTTCCACCACTCTACTGCCACTGCTAGTCTACTACGACGACGACTGCTTGGGGGCAAAGACCCAGAGACTCCAATATCCCTGAATTAATTAAGGAATATACCTTAAACTCTAGTAGGATCCTTAATATGATTTAAGGTCTATTCCTTAATCAAGGGCTGTTGGGTCTCTGGACCCCGCGAAATGCGGGCAGCTTTTCAGCGCGCAGGAGTCGATCCACCAGTTGGGCGCAGGGCTTGTTCAAACTCCTGGCGGGGCCAGGCAGGGGCCCACGGTTTAGGGTTTATAGGGTTCAGGGTCAAGAGGTGAGGGAGCTGAGTCGACTCTTCTGCTTGGGAGGAACTCTTCAACGAATTCGCTTCGTCATAAAGTGTCTCGCTTCGAGAAAGCCTGCATGAACCCGAAAGCCCGAACCTAAAATCCTACCTGGAAATCCAAAGTGGCCCCAAAAGCTGCGACCCTTCACTAGATGCTGGTTTTGAAGCAACTTTCGAAAGTTGCAGGTTTTGGTTCCAGGGGTTTTAGGGTAAAACCAACAGCTTCGGAAGAAACATATTCGATTTCGCAACACTTAATGCATCTCAGTGTTGAAACTAGGGGGCCCTCGGCCTGTTTCTGAGATTTCATTATCTAGACGGGTGTTTGGGATCAAGACTAAGCTAGCTTGGTGCAAAGTGCCTGCAGCTTCTAAGATGGAGGGCTGCATAGGGTTCAATCAGTATTCGGGGCCGGGAGTGATCGAGCTTCAACCGCTGAATCCGGCTCTTTCCGCCTCGAAGCAGCCGGCAATCGCTCATGAGCCTGGGCCTTGGGCTTTAATGACCTCACCAACAGCTAGCCTGTAAAGCTCCAGGGTTCGAATTGCGACGGTCTTCGGACTTACTCCTCGGGACAATGTTGCAACCCGATTTATAAAATCCTCCGGCATCTGGCAGCTGTAGGCTAAAGGGTTGATCGGGCACCTGCGAGCAGCGAGCTCTTGTGTCAGAGAATAAATAATGTGGCAAAGCATGTGGTACTTTGGGTTGAACTTGAACCTGGCGAGGTTGCTCCGAAATGCCAGGTTTGCACACTGCGAGTAGCCCTTGACCATGCTTTGGCCCACACGAACCAGATGCTTCAAGCGTTTCAGGGTGATAAAAAGCCCGGCCCTGTAGAGCGATGTCATAAAGTCATTAGCATCTCGCAAGCACTGATCAACTTGTTGGATATAGCCCACATTGTTGCCAAAGTCGTGTGATCCCAACAAAGCTGTGAACTTAGCTTCTAGGAACTTGTTTATTACGACAGTGTCGGCACCCTTGAACCAGCTCCTTAGCAGAATCAGCAGCACAAAAAACAAAAAAATAATTCAACTTTACCGATTACATGTTGTGTGTCTAACAAGTTTTATCAAAACAACAATCCATAGAGCTGTGAAACCCCGACGGGTAGTCAGCATGGCTGCCCCAGGAGATGATCTTTCGGGTGAGTTGGTTCAGGTGCAGATTGAGGTTGCTCTCCTTTGCAAAAGCTTTGAGCTCTCCATAAACATGTTCCAAGCATGGAGCCGCACCCATAGCAGAGCATCCGGAAACCCCGAAGTCCAATAGGGTCACCTTAGATAGAATTGGTTCAGGAGACGATCATAGACTGGGTTCGCATAAGCTACCCTGCCTGGTGTAAACGAATGGCCACCAAAGTATGCTCTATAACATTACCCAAGTAACTATCGCAGATCCAGCGAGGTCTGCGTGGACACCTTTATGAACGGTATGAAAGAGATCTACCAAATAAAACTGTGGTTTGAATGCAACTTCCATTGGTAAATTCTTTGTAAGGCTTGACTCCTGTGTCGGTGTCCATGGCATTGGTGCAGTCGACATCGTAGCAACCCAGGGTGCTGTGGTGAAATCGCACTCGTGCCAACTGTGGCACATCTCAGTGTTAGCCTGGCAAAGATGGCATAGCCCCTTGCCATATGGGTAACTTTCTCGAGTGAAGTGCCTCTCCAGTTTGCCCAACTTGATTAATGCGGGCCAGTCGCCCTTGAGGCCTATGGCCACAACTCGAAGGAGCACATCGCGACCTTCGACTTTCACGGAAAGGCCTGTTTCGAAACACCGAGCCAAGTCCATTGTCAAGTTCTCAACGAGGGCATGTAATCGGATATCCTTTTTTCTCATAGCTGGTCTTCGGCAATACACTGAACAGCATCCGTGTCATGTAAGTATTGCCAACGAAGTTCATCTTGAGTTCATCCCGGGAGGTCTTCTCGTCCTCGGCTTCACAGCCGAAGCCCAACACCGGTTCGTAGCCCAGTATCATGATTCCTGTCTTTTTGTACCCGCGGCCTTCGTCTGCGAAGAGATATATCGGTACCGTGTAAGCCCTGTCTGACTCTGACAATTCGAAGACGGGGTGATTCGGGCGTAGCAATTGGAATCGCCCCCAGAATAAGGCCAGGGATGATAGGCGTTTACCTCCTGTCAAATTCACAAGGTTACCAGTTTTTGCTAATGTACGAATGTAATCAGAAGGGTATATCACAGGATGCAACACATTCAACCCAAGGTCGGCGTGAGAAACTGGTAGCGGGAAGGCCACAGCAGGTTGAAGGTGTGACCGAACAGTCTCAGCAGAGTGCCCTGTTTTGTAGGCCCGAGTCATAGTCTGCAGCAGCCGCCCAGATTGAAGCTTAGATGATGCTTCGGGACCGAAAGCCCCATCAATTTCTGCTACAACAGCAGCTGCTATCTCGGCTGCCATCTCACTCGATACCTGACAGATCTTTTGATACTATGCCATACTAGCACACTGAGTTGAGGCCTGGACCTTTGGCCTATGCATCCTGGTGGGTCTGGAGGCATGGGTTTAGGGTTGTAGAGTTTAGGGTTTATAGGGTTTAGGGTTTAGGTTTTAGGGAACCTTTCTCGAAACCCATAGAGTATACAGACTTTACAACCATGCACCTCTTTTTCAAGCAGCCTCAAAGCTACATGCATCACCGGATCCTGAGCCCACACACCCTAGACCGAATCCTTCAGAAGAATCACCCGACCCAAAATTGAAGACTAACTCCAGGGGCTATAGGGTTTACAAAGCACACTTAAGGTTCGTACAGTTTGAAGATATTTAGGATATTATAGCGGACTCTTTCCAGCGACACGAGTCAAGGCACCCCCTTGACCATAGCCTTGCCAAAAGCATCCCCGATAGGCCCAGCATCTCCAGACGATTTTGCAGAATCTGTAGATCTTATCGAAGTAGTCGAAAGCATACCTGCGGACTTGGGATGGTGTTTATGTTTATTCCGCCACCAGTGTAAGATCATGGCAAGCGACATTGCTGTGATGCAAGCAGACTGGACCAGCTGTGTTGACACGAAGCGACACTCCCCGGCACGTGCATGACACGTGTTCTCGATTGTCAGCCATCAGCAAACACGATTGGTTCGCCAGGCATCATAAAGATACCCTCCCAGAGCCTCTCTGCTTTGCACCGGATGCATAGAACAAGCATATAGACCTATCTATGGCGAGCTACTACAAAAACAAGAACCCAATACTAACATAACTATGGAAAGAAGCAGTATAGACGACTTGAGTGACCGTACCCGTAAACTTTAATCATGAAAATTCTACGAAGCACCAATCAAGTACAAACCTAGGAACACTAAGCCCGATAAACCCTAAACCCTTTAAACTGTATAAACCCTTCACCCACATAAGAATGTAAGCCCAACACTAGCTTTCAACTCCCTATAGAAACCATTGCAGGTTAGAAGTAATTATGCGAAATACTGAGTGACAGCAGTGCAACCCAGCAGAGGCTCGAACGATACTTAAAGTACCTAACCCTTCTTCGGCTTGCTCTTGCTCTTCGGGCAAGGCTTTGCCTTGGCCTTTGGGGAGCTCTTGTTGCTCTTCTTCTTCAGCACGGTCCTGAGTAAGACCCGAACTTCTGAGGCACATTGTGTCGAGTCATGTGACACATACAAAGACTACAGTGATTAGAAAGCTCAGGCAGGTTTCTTCTTGATTTTGTTCTCTTCCGAAGCCATGCGGGAAGTCCTTAGATGCTTCAGGCTGCGACCATGTGGTGTCGCATAACTACAAGTTCATGTGCGTGCAGAAGTCGAAACATCATTTTCGCCCAGCATCAGCTTGCTGACTTCGTTCATGAGCTTGCTCAGGCTCCTTGGGTGAAGTGACACGAAGCAGAAGGAGGACTTCGTGACGAGTTGGTTCAGTTTTGAATGCATCGAAGACTCGAGCCATCAACAGCCTCATCGCAGTCGTAGGAAGCCTTCATGTCTGCAATCTTGTCATGCTTGTCAGTGAGCTCATCAATCTGCTTCTTGAGCAAGTCAGCAGACCTGGAGCAAGAAGCCATGATCTACTAGAACCATGCACAAGCCGAAAGCACAAGCCGGAAACATGCACGTGTGCGTGCCGATATCGGGCCCAGCAACTTTTGTGCACCTGCTTCGACACACTTCTCAAAAAGGCTCTGCGACTTGCCCTGCTGCTTTAAGATCTCGGAGAGCACCTCCGGAATCGAATCCATGTCCTGTCGGAGTGAACAAGACACTGGTTGTGAGCAGACAGATAAGCCGTCACTGTTTCCAAACCCGAGACATTCACTCTGGGCATATACCCTAAACTAGACCCATACATACCCCAGGTTCCTGTACTGAAACTTATAAGTATACAGCTTAGACCACAAACCCAGCTAGGACCCTAAAGCCCCTAAGGATCCTAAACTGAGACTTACAAACCACCCCAAACAACAAACCCTATGTGCGTGTGTTTGTGTGTGTGTGCGTGTGTGTGCGAGACAGAGAGGGAGATCGTCACTCAGTCACTCAGAGAGAGAGACGAGAGAGAGATGCAGAGAGAAAGGCACATGCACACACATATAATATATATATATATATATATAGAGAGAGAGAGAGAGAGAAAGACAGGGAGAGAGAGAGACAGAGAGAGAGATAGAGTGAGAGAGGGAGAGCATGAGGAACACATAGATACAGCGGTCCTCCTCAGGAAGCTCCTCCCGTGAGGAGGCCTTTGCACTCGACTTGGGTTTCTTGGCGGGGTCCTTGCTATTGCTTTTTGAAGCTCCTCGCTTCCTGGATTTGGTTTTCGACTCTTCCTCGCTCTGGTTTGAACCATCCTCGTCACCCTCTTCACTCTCTGAAGAAACTTCTTCCATCTCCTCCTCAGGTGGCGGCATGCCACCGGCAGGACCCCCAGGGGTGACACCTGCCTCCAAACCCAAAGGCACTGCGGCCACCGAGGCATTACCAAGGTCCGTGGTCCTGTCAAGCTCCTCCTTGTTCTCTTTGGTGGATATTCCTTCGAAGGCCACGTCGACGTAAAACCAGTACACTTTTTTCTCGTACTTGTCTCTCCTATAGGCGAGGCGTGCGAAAAAGGCACATGCTATGTGTACAATGCATAATGCACATGTGTCGTCGCGTGCACTCCAACTCTTCTCCCACCTGACATGAGTTTTCCGGTTCTCTTTCCGGAAGCAGAACTTCCGAACCGCTGCTCGGCGTTCCCTCGGATGGATGCAGAAGCACTGCCTGCGAAGAAAGAACATTCTCCCGAAACAAATGAGACAGGAGTCTTGCTGAACCTGAGCTCATCTTTCATGAGCTGGTCGGTATAGAACCCTGAGACGACCTTGAAGGTGTTGCTCCGGCTTTGGATGAAGCGGTGGGTGACTTTCTGGCAGAATGCATCCTGCTCGTGGAAAACGAAAGATTGAGGGAGAACGAGGATAACGACTTGTGCGTGCAACCGGTCCCGTCCTTGTCCTCCCCGACCTCGATTAAAATCTTGGCCAATTCACGGCGTTGCGAACCGCCCTTGACCCAGAGCTTGTGTATCTCCTCTGGCACCATCATGCCTCGCTTCTTTCTCTGGCAAAGCCGGCGTAGAACTTGATCAACTCGAGCAACTTCGGCCTTCTTGTCGACCCGTCTGGGAGCCTTAGATTTGCCGAGTGGAGAGTGGTGCTGTGACGATACAACGGAACACCGTTTAAAAAAAAACAAGAGCAGTATAGTGCACAGGAGAAACCTAGACTTATAGACTAAGTGACCTTCAGGATTTTCAGCGTGGCCCTGGATGCTGCTCGCTGGGGCGGAGGAGGACGGGCCGGAGAGCCACGAGAGGCTTCATCATCACTGCCGTCTCTTACTGTGGGGGTTTCGGCCCCAATCTCCTTCCACTAGGGAAAGCTTAAAAGTCCAATAGCACACAACAGCCGATCGCATTTACATTGCACACACTGAAAGTCCTCGATCATACTCTCGAGATCACCAGCAGGGTCCCCACCGTAGGCGTAGGCATCCTATAGTAGATCGAAATTTAATAGACCGACATGGAAGCAAGACATGCAGACATGCATGTCTGTGTTGCATGCACACGAAGCACAAACTGTTCGCGATATCACATGCACAGCTGCGATTGACAGCCATGCTTTTTGATTGGGAGCTTCACTGCATTGCTTCGAGTTTGATCGTAGCCACTCACCGATACGGGTGGGGGTGGAGTTGTCGAGACTG